CATACGCTGCATTTTCCGAACCAGGATCCAGGGAAGTTCTCAGATGTGTCCCATGTTCTCCTTCCTTCTCCGCTAGTGTTGCATCTCCCACCTCTCCTGACTTCTTTCAGAGACAGAGTCCACCTGAATGGAGAAGGACAAATATGAGGAATAGCTTTTAGGAGAATGATCCTATCATTTAAAAGTGTAGTACAGGAGCCAGGTGCGATGGTGCACACCTGTAATCCCATCAGCTTGGGAGGCTGAGACTGGAGGATCGTGAGTTCAAAGCCAGTCTCCGCAAAAGCAAGGCGCTAAGCAACTCAGTGAGATCCTGTCTCTAAATAAAATACAAAATAGGGCTGGGAATGTGACTCAGAGATTGAGTTCCCTGGTATCCCACCCCCACCCCGAAAATGTTTACAGGGTGGAAAAAAGTTGAGACACACTGAGATCTACTTAAATTGCCGGGCAATTCACCTGGTGTATTAGTGTTTGTAGCAAAAGGACATATTTCAAACATTGACCTTTTGGGCCTTTGCTCCATTTTTAACAGCAAAGCTATTTTATGCTCATTCCTTTATGGAGGAGAAGGGTAAATGTAAAGAAGGAAATAGAGAAATAAATTACATTCTCCTGGCTCTAATGTTTTAAAAGCCTATGATGTTAGAGGCCTGGAAAGAACTCTCAGCGTGGACAAGATCTTTTTTGTAAAACATCTTGAATAAGAGTAAGACTGTGCAGGATCCTGCAAACAGGAACAAGGAGGTCTATGGTGTCATGGTCAGGCCCATGAGGGAGGGCCAGATGTCATGTCTAATATCCACATAACAATATTGTGCTCGCAGTAGGTAAATATCATCCCAGGAACAGGAAGTTAAATTAGCTGAGGTCAAATTTTTCCACCTTAGTGGAACAGGGACTTGAAACCGAAATTAGATTGAATTTCAAAAACAGACTGTAGATTGTTTACCTTGAACACTCAAGATTCTGGGATGAGAGTCTCACCTGTGACAGAACATGGAGGACACGGGCACAGACTCCTGCCTCAGAGGAACTCTGGGGAAAGGAAGAGGCTGCAGGCCCCAAGTGTGGGGGGTTACTGGACAGCCAGACAGACAGGCTGGGGGGACTCAGCCCAGATGAAAGGACAATTTGTCTCTTTATGAACATCCCAGAGCAGGGACGTCAAACAATTTCGAAACACTTCTTAAGCAAAAGGCCAAGATGTTACATAAAGTTCACAGCCGGAGGCCCAGGGCTGACACCAAACCCCTTCCAAATGTACTGGGAACCTCGTGTCCCTGGAGATAAAAAGCTATGCTTTTGAGCCTTGGGGACTCAATGGCATTGTTCACTTTTCTCTCTGAGAGGAACTAGATGTGCTCCTGTCTTAGCCAACAATCTGAGAAGGGGCCAGACCCCCTGATGTCCCTGTGCTGGATCTGGTTCCCGCTGAGCGCAAGGTCTGGCTGTACCGCTGTGAGTTTGCATCCTGCTTCAGGCACACCCTGAACTGGGCTGATGCTTTGGAGACGGGGGTAGGGGGTGTACGAGAGGCGCATCTTGCCTTCATAAGATGTTCTTGACCTTTCTGTGCGGAGCACCATCCAAGGATCAGCAGAAACAGCAACATCTGGGAGCTAGTTAGAAATGCCGGACCTCAGGCCCCAAGCCAGGTCTGCTTCACAGGACTCTGCATTTCCACCCAAGACTCCCAGGTGCTTCAGGAAGCTGGTTAAAGCCTGAGAAGCACTGGTCTAGGGAACCAGTCTCAGGCTTCTGGAAAAACCGAGGCCTTCTCCATTGCTCCAACAGGAAGACGTCCTTGCGAGCTCTTGAGATCATATGATTGGCAGGGAGGAAAGAGCAGACCTGGCGTTAGTCGATCGAGTTCAAACTCTGTATTTATGTATTGGCTATTAACTGGAGCCTTAAGCAATGTGTTTCCTGGGCCTCGATTTTCTAATCTTTAAAATGGGACAATGATGATAATAGTGGATTTTAATTCCCAGGGTTGTGAGGATGAGATGAAACAAAATACATAAAACATTTAGAATACTGTCAGGTACAACAAACCCTCAATAAGTGTTAGCTGTCAGTTATTTTAGAAGAATTTTTTTGTTGTTGTTGTTGTTTTGTTTGGGGTTTTAGTATTTTGGTGGTGGTGGTGGTGGTGGTGGGGAGAGTCTTTCTGTTTTTGCTTTTGCCTTGTTTTGCTCTTTGCTCATTGGATGCCTCACAAAAGCTCTGAAACCATCTTGGGGATTCCCTCTGTGTCCTTCCTTCTGAGGTGTGGAAGAGGAAATGGACGACTCCCTGCTTCTGCACCGCCCTTGCTCGGTGGGGGGCCGCAGAGCCAGCTGGAGGGAGGAGCAGCGTAAATCACTCTTTCCCAAATTTAGTGGATTCCAGAGGCATCTTCATTTTTTTCTTAACCATATCCATATACACCCTTGTATACTATTTTTTATTTAAACCAATGTAAAATGGAGTTGTTTTCAAAAGTTGTTTTCACACCTAATGCCTGTGACATCAGCAGTGTAACCTGCTAGCTGTATCTTTTTTCTAATCCATGTTAAAGTGAAGCCATCACTATGGAAAAAAAAAAACATGTTCACCCATGCATAAAAATGTTACTAGAACTCCATAACGTTTCTCTGATCCTGTGTGAGCATAGGAACATGTTAGCTCCCAGCTGTGGTCCTAAATGTCTTGACATCAAATCTCTCCACCCAAGTGATGTGAGCCAACCTTTTGCTCCCAGCTCATCCAGCTCAGCAGAGGACCAGAGCCAGCAAGTGACTTGCCCAAGGTAACACAGCCAGTGCCGGAGAGAAAGAAGCCCAGGTCCCTGCTCTCCCAGCTGGGTCCCACTCTCCAGAGAGCACAGAGACAACAGCTGTGTCCCTCTTCTGCTCCGTGCTTGGTGACGTCTGTCTCGTTACTGCTTAGATTCCTCCTCCTTTTCCACCTAATGCAATTGCTGAATGCACCCAGCAGAGCTAGAAGCAACCGTCCCTCAGTGTCACGGCTTTCACTTTGTGGTTTTTCCACCCTGGAGCCCCCCTGGCTCCCAGTGTCCTGGAGCTTTGTCTCACGTAACAGAAGCAGCAGCTTGATTGTCCTTCCACCCTGCTTGTCACAGAGCGCGTCCACACAGGAGCCCTGTGGGCACCATCCCAAGCTCCCCCAAAGCCAAGGTGGGGCGAGCTCCCGGGAACGGCAGCCCCCTGCCCAGGGTTTTCTTTTCCGTGTTTTCTCCTCTGTGAATCATCTAGGGATCGTCTGGCGACTCTTGGCAACATTAGTTAACATACGAGGAAAGAGCACAAATCCGCAGGATCCGTTCTGTTTCATGGAGGGCATGATAATGTCCTAGGATGTTGTTATCAATATTCAACTCAGTCAATATATTTGAGGGCTCCAGGCAAGCCACATAGGCTGGAGCTGCAAGGTCACAAGAGTCAGATGTGGCATCTTGCAGCCTTTTCAAAAGAGGTGACCATAGAGTCACCCTGTAAAACAGTGCTCAGCTCACTTATCTGAATTATATATTCTCAGTGGGCAATATTGTCTCTCTGGGGCAAAAATGAAATAAAAAATAAAAAATTATAAATATATATATATATATGTATATTTCTTAGAAGCAAAAAATATTTTAGATGTTACAACCCTCCCCAGTAAAAGTTCATTCCTTAGTATTTCATTTCTTTCATTGGGGCAAAATTTAATTGTAATTTGGCCAGGTGCAGTGGCATCTGCCTGTAATCCCAGCAGCTCAGGAGGCTGAGGCAGGAGGATAGCAAGTTCAAAGCCAGCCTCAGCAATGGTGAAGCATTCGGCAAACTCAGTGAGACCCTGTCTCTAAGTAAAAAATAAAATAGGGCTGGGGATGTGGCTCAGAGGCTGAGTGCCCCTGATTTCAATCTCTGGCACAAAAAAATAATAATAATAATTGTAATTTTAGTTGATTTGATCATTTCATTTTTTTGAGTGGGTAATAACACCAAAAAGACAAAGAAGTGCTGGTCTAAATGAAATCCAAAGATGCTTTTCCTTTGTCCAAGAAATTTTCCTTCCATTATCTATCCTAGAAAGAGTCCCTAAAAGAAACAAAAGAGCAACGACTCTTTTGCAGTTCACAAGTGCATCATCGTTTTTAATAGTAAAACAACACCTAAATGTTCATCAAGTGTAAATGGTTCAATAAACTATGGAATAAAGTACAGTGCGTATGTGTTATGAAATACTGAAAGGAATGAGGTAGATCTGGAGAGAGAGGAATTGACACGGGAAGGTTTCCAGGTCACGTTTTTGGCTGGAAAAAGCCATCTGCACGATTCAGTCTCCCTGAGCAATTGGTTCTAGGATATCCAAGGAGCTTCTCCTACCAAAGCCCCTGGATGCTCAAGTAGCTTCTATAAAGTGATGTTTGTGTGTGACCTGCACATATCCTCCCATTGACTCTAAATCACCTCCAGATTACTTATAATACCCAATACAATGTCAGTGCCGTGTACCTATGCAAATAGTTGAGGTTCTGTATTGTTGAGGGGATAAGAAAAAATTCTCCAGTGCTGATGCTTCATTATTGTTTTTCCAAATGTCTTCGACCTGCAGTTAAATCTGCCCACGGGAAACCCAGGGCTCCCTGGGCCAACTGTAGATCCACAGCCACACTTACATTAAAACAAACACACAACAGCTCTAGGAGCTTCTATATGTACAAGTGTAGATATAAATGCAAAAGGAAATCAATGCAAGGTTTCACACCAAAGTGACAAACTCAGCTTCCCCTTGAGATAAGAAGGATTTGACAATTACCTTCAAATTGTACAAGAGGTGGAGGGCTTTTTATTTATCTCTTTCTGTGGGCTTTGTTTTGGACTTCTGCACCAGAATAGCAGTGAATAAATCCTATAAATAAGAATAAATAAATAAATATTTATGAAAAGAAGCCCTACACCACCCCCTTAGCATTAGGAAAGATTTCTCCACCTGAAGAAAGAAAATATTTCTTTTGCCCCAGAGAGAAGATCTGCCGCTTGATTTCTAGCACACCTGGGAGTCGAAACCTGGGTGTTTCAGACGGATTCAAGTTGTATCTTCTTAACCAAATTATAGAAAAGCGACACAAAGATATGCAGAGTCTTTGAAAAAATAATCTCCTAATGTCTGAGGTAGTAAAGCACTCAACAAGTAAAGAGAAATGCATCTTACTACCAAAAAATGAAACGCTGGTGGCCGTCCATTCTGGAAGGCGGTTTGCAATACGTAGGGACGTGTTAAGTGCTTACCTGTCGACAGGCCATCGGGTTCTAGGAATTTTGCAAGGACACTTATTGTTGCTTGCTTCAACAGAGAGAGAAGTCAGAAATCACTGAAAAGTTTGTTCATACGGGGTCAGATCTGCAAAATATGGCTGACATACGGCTGTCCCTCCCTTATCCTCAGATTACATCTACCAAGACCTCCAGGTCGTACTGAGCCCTATGCACCAGCACTGCAATACTTTGACAGACAATCTGATAACAAGACAGCTACCAAGTGAATGACAGCAGGTAGCATATACGGCATGGAGACGCTGGACAGAAGGGTGATTCACCTCCTGGGCTGGATATGGTGGGACAGATGAGATTTCACTGTGGTATTCAGAAAGGTGTGTGCTTTAAAACACATCAATTGTTACTTCTGGAATTTCCCATTTAATATTTTCAGACTTGGGTTTACCTCAGGTAACTGAAACCACAGAAAATGGAACTGCAGATAAGGACCGGGGGGTGAGATGGTGGCACTGTGTGCAAAGGAACACGCTGCACTCATTCCAGAATGGTCTGCATTTACCAACATGGAAAGAGAGCAGTGAGATATTACTATATTAAAAAGTAGGTTAGGGAAGTGCACAGAGAAAACCATTCAATTTAATTTACATCTATTAGAAAGGTACTTAATAAGGTATGAACAGAGTTTACCAAGTCATTTTGACTCCTTTTGTGCTGTTCTGTACAGCTTGAATTTAGAAGAGTCTGTGATTTTTTTGTAGAAAAACAAAAGAGCCATTTTAAATAAAAATAACAAATAGATAACTACAATGAGACATATCAGATAGAAGAGGGAAAATGAGTATTTGCACCCAGTGGAACAGACTAAGGGCTCATCATGGAGCATCAATGATGTAAATCCTAATCCCGGCTCCAACTTGAACGTGCTACGTGACTTGGACTCTTCCCCAAGCCCCTCTTTCCTAAGCTGTAAAATGGTGATGGAATCCCAAAGGCTCTTAGTGAGGATTAGATAACTATTATAACAACAATACCCTTACATCAAGGCACGTCATCACAGAATTTTACAGACCATGGATAAAGAGAAGATCCTAAAAAGATTTCAGAGGAGAACAGTGGTTGGAGGAATCATGATGATGTCAACCTCTCAGCCTAAAAACTTGATGATAGAAAACAACAGAACAAGACAGATCTTATGCAGCCATTACAAAGTTTGGAGAAGATGTTTATGTAGAATTATTAAAATATTTCCAAGATACATAATTTTTAGTGAGCAAGAGGCAGAACAATGTGAATTAAATATGTAAAAATGTGAGTATGTAACAGATGTGATTCTGCAATCTGTATTTGGGGTAGAAATGGGAGTTCAAAACCCAATTGAGTCAAATGTATGAGAGATGATTTATCAAGAGCTCTGTAATGTTTTGAACAATCAATAAAAAAAAGGTTAAAAAAAAAACACGAAGAAAAGAGGAATGAATGGGTAGGCATAGATTATTCCTGGACAATATACAGAAACTGGTAAGAATAATACATGTACCTATACTATTTGAAATGTTTTGCCCTGGGTTGGTACTGCCTACTCAGATGAAAATGGGTGAGGAAAAGGTTACATACAACCTGGGACAATGTCCATAATAAATCACCCAGGAAAAAAAATTACATAAAGTTTATGAATGTGATGATTCCAACTACCATAGTGTCACTGATTCTAAGATGCACTGTTTCCCAGACATTAGCGTCTCTGAAATCAGGCCATGTCCTGCGATCCATGTGTGTGAGCCATCTTGTGATAGATCATATTGGCAGAAGTGTTTCTTATTTAGAGTACATAAAATAGTGGATACTTTACAAGTTATACATCTTAGAGTTTATAATAGATGTGTATTTGTCACCCGCTGCTGCATAACAAACGACCCCACAACTTAATGGTTCAAAACACCACTGATTACTCCACAGTGTCTGTCTCTGGGTCAGGAATTCAGGCACAACTTGGACTCTCTCAGAGTCATTGCGACATCACAGTCCATCTGCTACCTGGGACAGGACTGGTGTCATCTCAAGGCTTGACTGGGGGAGAATCCATTTCCAAGCTCACTGGTAGTTCACAGTTTGCTTGGCGGAGAGCCCCAGGGCTTCTCTGGCCATTGGATGGAAGTGACCCTCATTTCCTTGCCACGCAGGGGGTCCCTGCATAGGACAGCTCACCACAAAACAAGAGAGGGGAAAAGAGACAGAAGTCACAATTTTTATGTCCCAATCTCAGAAGTGACATCCCATCACTTCTCCCATTTTTCTTCCCATTAGCTGTAGGTCGCTAGATTCAGACACACTTCATGACACATGGGAACCAGCAGGCAGAGGTCTGGGAAGTCCTCGTAGAAGCCACCTGCCACAACATCCTATGTATATGGACAAAAAATAAAGATTAAAAAGTATCTTTTCCATGTTGTCGGTGAAAACCCGACACAAAGGAGGAAGGGCCAATGTTCATACGTCACTAGTTACAGGCAAATCTAGCCGGGTGCTTCCTGGAGGGACTGAGAGAAATCCCAGGGACCCTGGAGCCTCTGTCCAGAGCCAGGCCACACTCCCCGCACTGACTTGGGGTTAGAAGGAGCAGTGACATCCTCGGGTCTGTGGGTGACCCCGTGCAGTCACGGGGACAATAGGCATCACGGATGGAGCCACCAAGCCCCCCAACCCAAGCCCTTGTGTGAATTGTGCTTTGAGATGGAGGCAGAGAACACTTGACATCCTCGCACCTTCCAACCTCTTGATTCTTTGCCACAAATCCCTGACTCTGAATGAAGCCAGCCATTCATTTTCTCTGTGCCTGCTCCCTGGCTGCCAGATTTTACTGGAAGAACTTCTGAGACCCTGCTAATTGGTTCCTCCACAAATCAGGCTTCCCAGCCTGAGCCGGGGCACAGTCTGAGGCTCCACCAGTGAACTTCCACTCTTCTACCCTGCAACAGCAAGAAGACGAGTGTGTGTGTGAGTGTGTGTGTGTGTGTGTGAGTGTGTGTGTGTGTGTGTGTGTGTGTGTGAGTGTATTCAGGCAGATGGTGGATGGACTGATGGATGGATGGGTACAGTTAACAACAGAGAAGAGATAGACTATGTTCCTTGTGATATGCAGACGTACACTACACATGTCAATATATCTCTCGATGTACATAGGCAATATGAATATGTAGATATAAAATCAGATAATAAGTGTCCAGAAATACAATAAATGCCTCAAATACTCCGTATTCGTTCATGAACAAGACTTCCTCAAAACTATTGCTACAGCTGGGCATGGGGGCCCACGCCTGTCATCCCAGTGGCTTGAGAGGCTGAGGCAGGAGGATCATGGGTTCAAAGCCAGCCTCAGCAAAAGGGAGGTCTAAGCAACTCAGTGAGACCCTCCCTGTCTCTAAATAAAATATAAAATAGGGCTGGGCATGTGGCTCCATGGGCAAGTGCCCTGAAGTTCAATCCCTGGTACCTCCCCCACCCCCCAGAATAAGCTGTCCTTGCTCTGTTTGGAAGGCCCCTGCAGGAGCCCTCACTGCCTGGACCGGTCTTTCCTGGTTGCCGTCTCCATCCAACAGCCCTTCCCTCCAGAGGTCTCCTTTGAGACCCGCCATGTATGGAGGTGCCCCAGGGCAGCGTGGTGAACTCAGGGTGTTCCGGAATATTTCAGTATCTCCAGGGAACCTCGAGGAGCGTTGACATCTGTTGGGCACTGAGGATTCCTACTGGAGGTAGGTTACAGCTGCAGCGTGAGGTCACTGCATTCCTTTAGATGACATTCTGTTTTGGCAAAGCTGGGCTTGGGGCTAGCTGATGTGATTTCTAAAATAAACAAATAAGCCGGCGCCACGTGGAAATCAACACAGAAAAGGAAATGAGGGTGGCGATGTCCAACCCGGCTCTAATGTCGGAGAAGTTGTGGAACAGCGACTGTGACACGTGTCCCTGGCAAGTGCCCTCGGGGTTTAAGAATTAAATCAAAATATGTTTTCTTTCTATTTGTATGCATTTTTAAAACAGTTACTAAGGCCGGGCACAGTGGCACATCCCTGTAACCCCCGAGGCTCAGGGGGTTCAAAACCAGCTCAGCAAAAGCGAGGCCCTAAGCAACTCAGTGAGACCCTGTCTCTAAATAAATTACCAAATAGGGCTGGGGCTGGGGCTCAGTGGTTGAGTGCCCCCCAAGTTCATTCCCGAGTACCTCCCCCCGCCCAATTAAAAAAAAAACAGTTACTAAGTTGTTAGGACGTAAATACTTATTATGTTTTTTCGAGCTAACTTCTTACTAAACAGAACTGATTTTTCCCCCCCTCAGGATACTTCGAAATAATGACCAAGACACTAAAGGCTCTGGTCTCTGGGATTCCCCTAACATCTGGGGCTCACTGGGGTGAGGGTTGAGGCTGGAGGGACCAGTTTGGATGGACTGTCAGCTGCATGAGGACAAGAACCTGGACTGCTCTCGTTGGTCCCACGGTCGGGGCTCAGCACAGAGCGGATGCTCATTGACTGCTTTGGTGTCTGTGGGCGTCTCTGTTTATTTCTAAGTCTCTGCACAGAGATTTTGGTTTGGTTGAGATGGGGTCTTGCTATGGTGCCCAGACTGATGTCAAATCCAGGGGTTTGAGGGACGCTCCCACCTCAGCCTCCACAGTGGCTGGAACTCCAGGCATGTGCCACCATCCCTGCCTCTCGCACGTGCTTGGGGCCTTACCCCTGGCATCCAGGAGGCTGAGCCACACGGAGATGATGGGTGCAAGATGGAGCTGCCTTCTGTCCTCCGCTGCCCCCTGCAACTCCAAGCCACCACCACTTCCCCAGGTCCAGTCCTCACACTGTTCCTGTCTCGGCATTTCTCTTGAACACTGCCTGGTTCAGGCCTTGGCTGCCTCCATTCCTACCCAAACTACGCCCTGCTTTCTAAAACCCAGCTGGGTCTCTCCTGTGTCAGAAAATTTCCACCGCCTCCCGCGACTCTCTCCAGTAATGACCGACCTCCTGGGCAGGGCGGATGAAGTCTCTGCCGACGGACTTCTCCAACCTCAGCTTCTTCCACTTCCTGCACCTGCCCTGGGGACCCCCTGCCCTCCCCTTTGCATGTATTTCTGTTCCCGGGACACAACATGCCCCATCTCTCGGGCGACACCGTGAGTTCCTGGGAGACTGGGGTTTGTGATCGGCCTTCATGTAAAAAGCATCCCACGTCCAACACGGTGCCTCGTCTCTGGATGGGGTACTTCATTTCTACTCCACGGAAAGGGCTCAGTTACGATTCTACCTTGGGACTCTGCCTTACCCCCGTACTCCCCAGGGAAGAGGAGGTGACTCACCTGACGGATGAGTTTGGCAAAGGAGTTTGCTCAGGGCGGCACCGGGCCCTCTCTTGGAAGAGCCAGCCACCTGGAGGAAACCTCTGTTCCCTGTGTGTTCTCCTCTCTTCCTGGCCTTCCACAAAGATTATGGGGACAGGATCCTTTGTGCAAGGGAGGCCTCCGGTTCGGGTGAGTGTTGCAAGTTTGATCCCAGGGACCAGGAATAAGCCCGTTGGCCAGATCTGAGCCATGCCCCATGACACAGAGCTTTTATGAGTAACAAAGGCAACGTTTTTATCCCCATCTGTTTGATTCTTGGGTCTATTTTTTAACTCTTCACCACTAAGGCAGCTTAGAGGGGTGCTGTTCTTTTTGGGTCACCTCAAAACCCAACCTGTCATAGACACTCCGTGAGCCCTTTCTGTGTCTTGGTTTAACTGACTTGAATTCCATTCCAGAGGCTGATTCTCCATTGGCCCGTCCTGCATGAGGCTGGACATCAAAGCCTTCCTTTATAAAGAGTGGAACAGTAACGTGGCATCTTTCCACAGAGAGAGGTTCCACACAGGAGTGAGAGGCACCGTTTGTTATCTCACCAACAGCAGGAGATGGGGAAGAAAAACAAAAATCGATGCTCTATGTCAGATTCCTCTTCATCTATAAACTCTTCCTGTCTCAAGGAAACGTATAAGTCTCTAGCTTTCTTTCCCTTTAGTGGTCAAACTTAACTTCCTAAGAGTTTGTTTTTGTTTTTGTCTTGTTTTGTAGCCACCGCTTCTAATTTATTCCTTTCTTCTACTCTAAACTTTTATTTGGGTCAGTTCCATAGATGACTAGATCTCCGCTCGGGGAGTCTGTGTTTCATCTGAAAACATGCACCAACTTTTCTCATTCTTCCCTGAAGCTTCTTCTCTGAAAACAAACCTTTCCCTTCTGCCGTCCAGAGCGCCCAGGAGACCCACGTTTCTCCATTCTCCTCGCGTCCTGTCCATCTCTCTCCTCCGCTGACCCCTTCCCACCTCCCAGTAAACAGCCCACCCACTCAGCTTTAAAGAACCTCTTCCCATCCATCTCCAGGATATGCAAAGAACTCAAAAACCCTAACACCAAAACAACAAATAACCCAACCAATAAACGGGCAAAAGAACTCAACAGGCACTTCGCAGAAGAAGAAATACGAAGGGTCAACAAATATATGAAAAAAAAAATGTTCCACATCTCTAGCAATTAGAAAACGCAAATTAAAACTACAGTAAGATTCCATCTCACTCCAGTCAGAATGGCAATGATCGAGATTACAAGCAACAATTAATGTTGGTGAGGATGTTGGGGGAAAGGGCACACTCCTACATTGCTGGTGGGACTGAAAATTGGTGCTACCACTCTGGAAAGCAGTATGCAGATTCCTCAGAAAACTGGGAATAGAACCACCATTTGACCCAGCTATCCCACTCTTCTGTATATATCCAAAGGACTTACAATCAGCATACTATAGTGACATGGCCACATCAATGTTTAAAGCAGCTCGATTCAAAATAGCTAAGCTATGAAACCAACCCAGATGTCCTTTGACAGATAAATGGATAAAGAAAATATGGTTCATGTACACAATGGAATATTACTCAGCCATAAAGGAGAATGGAATTCTGGCATTTGCTAGTAAATGTATGCAAGTGGAGACTCTCATGCTAAGGGAAATAAGCCAGTCCCAAAAAAACGAAGGCCAAGTGTTCTCTCTGATATGTGGATACTAACACACAATAAGGGGGGAAGGGAAGAATAGAAGCTCAATGGATTAGACAAAGGGAAATGAAGGGAAGGGGGGAGGATGGGAATAGGAAAGAGAGTGGAATGAATCGGACATAACTTTCCTGTGTTCACATATGAACACACGACCAGTGTAGCTCCAATCGTGTTCAACCACAAGAATGGGAAGTTGTACTCCATGTATGTATGATATGTCAAAATGCATTCTGCTGTCATGTAGCACTAAAAAGAACAGATTAAAAAATAAAGAACCTCTCTGTTCTCACTCATTCTGTGGCCCACCTGAGCTACCTTCCCTTTCCACTTCCTGTCCTTCACTTCAGAATCCTTCAACATGCAAACCCACATTCCACCCATTCCCCACATCTGGGGACTGCTCCCGAGCTCCGTGGCCTTCTGCTTGCAACCCAGCCACAACACTCCGCAGAGGGAGCTGCTCTCGGACTTCACCAGCAATTTCTTCATCATTACCCTCTCAAGTCTCTTTGTTTCATTTCCTTGTTCTTTTTTGACGTCTTTGTGACATTTGACCCTGCCAATCACTTTCTGACCCTTAGCCTCCGGTTCTCCTTTCTCTCCGTGTTGAGCTTCCGTCTGCGGCCTCCATGAACCCTGGGTTCTGCTTGGCATCCTTCCTTCTGCATTACTGACAGAAGTGCCCAGGCCCTACCATGCGCAGCAAAGGGTTCCCCTCTGATAGCAATTGATATTCTGGGAGTAGCTGAGCCTACTACTGAGATGGGGTGATTGACCAAGAACAGAGATTTACTTTCAATTCACAGTTCTGGAGGCTGGAAGCCCAAGGTCAGGCAGCTACATATGGTGTTGGCCTCAGGCTGCATCGACACGTGGCAGAAAGGAAAAGGGTCGGCAGGTTTGTGTGGGAGGGAGGAGGAGCTGGGCTCACCTTATAACAACCCCCTCCCACCCAGAATGACCCACTAGTGCCCCTGAGGGACCTCATCCCCTCTTAACCCTTCCCCCTCTTCCAAACTACCACGTGGCCATCAGACTTCAACACGAGTTTCTGGGAGGAAAAACCGCATTCAAGGCACACCAGACAGGCACCTTACCCATCCCTGATCCGTGGTAACGGAAGACCTCCAGGTGGATCTAAGAAGTACCTTGCCTTGCTGTAAAAGAGGTACGTACTAAGAACACCATCTCTTCCTGACCCTTCCTTTCTTCTTGGGATGTCGTCACCTGAGAATAAGAGGCCCTGAGCTGTGCCATCTTGCCATCAGGAGGGACAGCAAGAGCCGGGAGGCCCACACTGAGCTTGGCTTCAGAGGCTTGCCAAGCTGGTCTTGCACCTTCACAGACTTGAATGAGAGCAGGTCTGCTTGGAAGTGTGCCAGGACTGGTTCCGTTTCTATTACTTGCAGCCAAACACGGGGAAGTATTCCCCCTCCCCACGGCCCTCTACCTCATCCCCTTCCCGGAAAGCACCGTGCATTCCGTGCTGACCTCAACAAAGTTCTTATTGTCCCATCTCCCACCCCCAGCCTCCTCAGGCACCAGACAGTCCACCTGGATTTCACACCATCCTCCTCACATAACATGTTCCCAGCCAGACTCACCAGCTCTCCCCCAGAGTCAACAAGCTCAAAGAGGAAGAACTCCTTTGAGATTTGCTGGAAGAGCGTGGATTCCAAGAGCTTCCAGGTGGGGGTGTAATGCGGAAAGGTAAAACAGAATTTAAGATTTACATCTTCACCTGGCTCAGCTCTGCCTGGGTGTGCTA